GGATACGCCCAGAGTCACGGAACGCATTAAGTTCATATCCCGAGGTATCACCGTAATTGGAAAAATGGACTTCTTCTCCATCCTTCAACAGGAGGCTTTGCACACTTCAACAGATGTGAATGACCAGTGAAAAGAGTTTTAGTAATAAAACCTCTGGATCAAACTAGGGAGTAAAAGAAACTTTTTAAGGAACAGACTTGCAAGATCCATCAGAACAGACTCTGCCACAACATAGGCGCATCATAATGGATAGCATCAAATGTGCTGTGTTTTTCTCAAATCAAAACCTGCATGAAACTCCCTACTTCTTTCTGTAAATTGAATCCAAAGAAAGAGTGTGGTCCATTTCAAATAATCTATTTTTCTGTGTCCAACACTTCTCAATCTATTTAAAATGTGCCAAAAATAACCTGGGCTGCTTTGACCATTTGCAGATCTGTTTGGATATTTAGATACCGTAAGCATGGTCACTGGCCCTCTCTGGCTGAGCACCAAGACCTTCCAGCCAATCAGTGCTTCCTTGTTATGTTTCCAGGGCACAAGGTTCTTGTCCCACTCCAGTCCTAAAAAGCCATAGTTTCCCTTTCTCAAACAGAAAAGAAAATGCATTGCAAACATGTCCTACGGAGATTCTGTGCATATAAATTGTAATAAAATTGCAGAAGCAGTTTGAGCGGAAACTACATAAGGAAATGTGAATTGTTAACAAATATAAATAAATGCATTAAAAATCCTAAAATCCTTCCCACTTTTCATAGCAACAAAGTCCTTTTGTCTTTCAAACTACTAATGCTGGCATACTGGAACTGAAAAGTGAAGGTGAACAAGGAGCATAGACTACTTCTTCAAGCAAAAGGCAATGATACAATGCTGATTCTGAAGCAGCATGTGCTGGCTTGTAATACTATTTCTCTGTCCACAGATAAAATGCCATTTGCTCAGGGGTATGTCAACATTATTCACAGTTACAAGGTTCTCATTAAAATATCATGTGATTAATGGGAACTTATCTTGCCCCACTCCCTCAAGCTCATCTTCATCTGGAAAACCTTTGTGTGTTTCTGAAAACTGCAAAAAGAAGAGGTATTTTGATTTAAAAAGAGAGCTTACCTGTAAACAAAAATGAAGCTTTCTTTAGAAACATGTACAAAGAATGACATCATGGAAATTTGCATTTAAAAACTGAGGGAGATCTATCAATAAAAAGCAAACAGTAAAATGGACTGGATTTTTACCAATCTGCATTTCCACACATCCAATCCGTGGCCTTTGATGAAAAACAATGCTATATGTATTAAGCCAGGGAGGGAGGGAGGGGGAGAGAGAGAGAGAGAAGTAGCTATAGGAACTAGGGATGTGATTGCAGCAAAAGGAGAGACTGAAGGACAGGAGAAAATTTCAGGAACCAGAACTATGTGTATCTTGTGTCTCTCCAGTTGTCATTGATACTTTAAATAAGTATTTGTGAATGTTCATTTATTAAGTTTATTATAAAATGCTGTAGAAAAACCGAAAAGTTACAAAACCAACTGAAGAAAACACCAACAAAGAGAAAAAAACATATTTCCCAAATGCAAAATCAATATAGAGAGAGATGACTAATCTAGTGTATACAGTGTTTGGAAATGTACTTTCAGTGAAATTAAAACATTAATAATTCCAGAAATCCCATACCACTTCAGCTGGTCTTAGTTTTATTCCAGTAAGCAATACATGGCTGAAAACGTTCTAGTAATTGAGAGCCGATTTTAATTCTACCGGAATTTGCTTAAGACTATTGTCTTATTCATCAGCATTACATTCCAAATCTAAATGTAATCTTTTTCTTTATTTTTCCAGTTATTTGTCCTACTGTCAGTATAATTCCATTAGCTTCTCAGCATTATACACTAATGTGGCCCTTGACACTGGAATTAGATTTATGGATTAAAATTAAATTTCACTCTATATTATCTTTATCATAACTACTTCAGAATATTCATGTTTTAATCCGCATATTGTATGAATAATGTCTGGGCATTCAGGCTGGTATCTTCAGCAGTCTCCGTTTCTTTTAAACTTTACTGAGCAGTAGTAAAATGGGAGTAATCAGAGTAAGATCTCTTCACTTTTATATATCAATGTAAATATAAATACAGGACTGAAAATCTGTTCCTCAATTTCGGGCAAGTTTTCTTCCCCTATGAAGAAAACTAAGAACTTTAGTTTTTCCTATATAAATTTCAGGGTGCTTATGAAATTCATTTCAAGGTGTTTTGATATAAGTTATTGTGAGGTGATGAGGTTTAGAATTAGATTTTCTGTTACACATTTCCCCATTACTTTGATGTCTCCCTGACTGCTGCTGCTTCCTCATCTGAAAAAGCACCATGGGAGGAGTTTTTCCACATCTTTGTATTTAATTGACACATGGAGATGCAAGGGAGGCCACAGACTGCTGGAGATATAATTTCATGTGTAAGACAGGGTACTCGCTGTCCTCCAGGACCTTGTAACTAAGGTGAGAGTGGGAATATCACACCTTGTTTATGAGAATTCCACTGACATGTTCTTCTCTTTGGGACAAAAAAGGGTTAAAGGCATTTTTTTTTCCCTTGCCAGTTAAAAGACAGTTCTTTAAAATGTTTTCAGCAATAAAAATTGCTAAAAATCAGCAGTAGTTTTATGCATGCTCTTTTTCTAGGGAATTTCCGGACCAGCTGGCCCGCTTGGTCCTCCGGGCCCGCCTGGTTTACCTGTAAGTAGCTATACCCACCTTACCTTATTCCTGATATCAGAATCATTATCTGATATTTTGTGTAACTATGTATTACTTTTTCTGTAGGGTCCTCAAGGCCCGAAAGGCTCTAAAGGTTCAACAGTAAGTATCTTCACACTGGTTCCCCCCTTCCCCCCATATGGCTGACTATTCCTTTTTCAATGTACGAGGTTTTTTAAAATTGTACTATTGTATTCCTTCATAGGGTCCTGGTGGCCAGAAGGGTGATAGTGGTTTACCTGGACCTCCTGGGCCTCCTGTAAGTAAGACTCCTTTTTACTTAATCAATACTGAATATACTTTTTTTTTAGATTTTTTATCCCGCCTTTATTATTTTTATAAATAACTCAAGGTGGCGAACATACCTAATACTCCTTCCTTCTCCTATTTTCCCCACAATGACAATCCTGTGAGGTGAGTTGGGCTGAGAAAACCTGGCCCAAAGTCACCCAGCTGGCTTTCATGCCTAAGGTGGGAATAGAACTCACAGTCTCCTGGCTTCTAGCCTGGAGCCTTAACCATTAGACTGAACAGGGTCTCTTGTATTTTAGATGTTGAATGCAAGCTATATCCTTTAAACATGAGTGGGAGATTAGGATCTGACTTTGACAGTGCGTGGTTGTCCCCTGATAACATATAAGGAAAACTAAAGCAGGGACTTTTTTAAAAAAGCCAACAACACAATGGATATTTTTGATTATGTACAATAATATCAGGGCTGGATTAAGGCCAGCTGATGCCCTAAGCATAGCCTAGCAAAGGTGGTGTGCTGTAGGTAATCAACTTAAGACTGAAAACTTTTTGTACAACAAATGAGAGAGACTGAAACCATACTTTGATGCAACCTGCAATGGTTCTTTATTGTTATATTCAATTCTAGATGAAAAAGCCAAATATTCTTACGCTTATTAACACTGACATTTTAAACAATAATTAAGATTGATAATATTTATTTTATTGTATTCTCAATGCCTTAAACTAGTTAAGCATTAGAGTGTTAATAATTTTTAATCAACACTGTATAAATACCCTCGTTTCAGAGTAACATAATGCTTTATGTAAGTTTTACAACAATGCAACAAAAAAAAAAAATTTAAAAAGAAACACAGGTGCCCCTCAATGGAAACAAAACTCTCATACTGTGAGAGAGAAACAAATGTGATATCTGGTGACACTTTCAACCAAACTTTTAAACTTTAGTCAAAGAAAACATTTGTTTTTAACAATGCAGATTAAAATCAAACACAGCAGATGGGGCCAATTACCAAAAAAAAATAAATAAATAACTAAAGTTGAATGTGGCAGTGAAAGAATTAGGGGCATGATAGCTAAGGGGGAAAACTCTGTGGTACCTCCCTTCCCTTGGTGCCCTAAGCATGTGCTTATTTTGCTTAATGGTTAATTCAGGCTAAATAATATATAGATAAGAGATATGCCTATACTCTGATTCTGCAGGAATCCAGAGGCAAAAAATACATTGGTAGGCAGCCCCTACCATTTGGGAGATGCTAGAAGAAGGCAGCAAAAATATTAGAGTAGTTAGCTTTCTACCTACATGAGTGGTAAAGAATGTTCTCTTTTGCCCCAGTGCTGAGGAAAGATGCAACTTAATAATTAAAAGGGATATACAAACAGTAAACCAAGAGAGTGACCTGGATAATTTTCCTATACTGGATTTACAAAAGAAGTTTGTTAAAGTTTTGAAGACTCTCGACAGAAGAGACAAAGAATTTTTTAAAAACTCTGTAATCTTATTTGAATGGGCTAAAGATTAAGTGTTAGAAGTAAAAGGAAGGAATATAAAGTTGGTTTATTTGATCAAGGTTATCATAGATGTGTTTTATTTCTGGTAACCCTTAATGGACTGTTGCTGACACCAGGACTGAAATGATGATGCTTTATGGATTTCTTTATAGATATGGGAAGAAGAGATCATTTGTTGTATTTTAAGAGGAGGTGATAAGTTACTAAAATTGTTTATACTTGTTGTGATGAGGTGGAAAGTCACTTCTTTATATATTTCTTTTCTTTTTCTTTACTATATTTTTGGAAGAAGAGATCATTTGTTGTATTTTAAGAGGAGGTGATAAGTTACTAAAATTGTTTATACTTGTTGTGATGAGGTGGAAAGTCACTTCTTTATATATTTCTTTTCTTTTTCTTTACTATATTTTTGGAAGAAGAGATCATTTGTTGTATTTTAAGAGGAGGTGATAAGTTACTAAAATTGTTTATACTTGTTGTGATGAGGTGGAAAGTCACTTCTTTATATATTTCTTTTCTTTTTCTTTACTATATTTTTACTTTTCTTTCTTTTCTATTTCTCTTTCTATTTTTTCCTTTTTTTCTTGTCTGCACCTTCTACTCTTTCTTTCTATTCTTCTATGTTCTTTTTTTTAGTTTGTATTATTTTTTATTATTGTAATTATAATCTTTAATAAAATTACTATTTAAAAAAATGAAAATCTTACCAATAAAACTGCAGGGACTAGTCCAGGCAGTCCCCAGGAGTCAAGACTGACTCAAAGGAATGCACATACACACAAAATAGTCACTTTACAGTGGCAAAAAAAACAAACAAACTCCTGCCTGTTCTTCCCACTCCAAAAAACAAAGGATTTGTTTTTGGTTGGGTGGGACACCAATAAAAATAGGTTTGTTTTCTTCAGCTCACTTGGATTATATGCCAAAATTAAAAGGATCGTCTCACTTCCATATTTCTCTCTCCTAGCCATACGAAGCCTTTGATAGCCGGAGAATGTAGCTAGTTTGGACATCCCTATACTTCCTAGCTATTAAAAGTTGGACATAGGCCAAGAGTTAGCCAAAGTTGGTGCCTTTCTTTTATGACTTGTAGTGCTTGTTATACGAGCAAATCACAGAAGGGAGAACCTATTCCCTGCTGAAGAGATTTGAGCAAGAGGATCCTCCATGGTAGAAATGTTTCCCTTTTATGTTAATATATAATGTTAAGCAAATATGGGAAGCTTTTTACTTCTTCTGCCTATATATAGTCACCCTCTACCAGAGTACCTTTTTTTTTTTATCCGCACTCAATCGTAACCGATTCTGCAGCGACTGCATGGACCAGTCCCTGCAGTTTTCACAGCAAGGTGTTTTCAGAAGTGGTTTGCCATTGCCTCCTCCCTAGAGCGGAGCCCAGCTGGTGGGTGCAGGAAGGCGGGGTTTCCGTTGCTTCGCGTCTTTTTCGGACATATGCGACTTCTGCGTTACCGGCAACTGGTCCCGTCTCCCGTACAAGGCACCACCAGCATTTTTCCTCCCACTGGGGTGAGAGTACCCATTTATCTACTCACAGTTGCTTTCTGTAATTATTTCAAAAATTAAATGCAGTATTAATTGCCACTCATCTGCCTTCTTCTTGAGGAGCACCTGGGCCTGGGTTTCTTAAAAACTGTATGACATTTCTAGTTGGACAGACTTTTATTTGTATATTACATATGTGTTTGTTTATAATAATTTCATGATGCAACAATTTTGTTTTTCATGAAAGTTTCATTTTCCCTTCCTAAGTCCATCTGAATCTCTAAGGTTCTTCAGTCAAATATTGTGGTTATTCGTATTACTTTTAAACATGGAATGAAAAGTTACTGGTTTTATGTTCCCAGGGGCCTCCAGGTGAGGTTATTCAACCTTTGCCAATCCAGTCATCCAAAAAATCCAAAAGATCCATAGATGCCAAGCTATCTGATGCAGAAGATTACACTGATGGAATGGAAGAGATCTTTGGCTCTCTGAGTTCTCTGAAACAAGATATTGAACATATGAAATACCCAATGGGGACTCAGAACAACCCAGCTCGAACATGCAAGGATCTGCAGCTTTGTCACCCAGATTTTCCAGATGGTAGGCTAATATTACCTCATAAAAGCAAATATGCTGAAATTCTGATCATTTATTCTAGTTATATCAGCTATAGTATACCCTACTAGTTTTCCATTGTCCATATCATGTGTTTATTGAGTCCTATTTGAAGATGTATGTTAGAAGCCAACTTTGGAACTACAGCAAACTGTGTTACTTTAATTACATTACCTTGAGTTTGGTAGTTTATCTATAGCATAAATAACTTCAGAGGATCAAAATGTTTGTAAGTACCTGAAACATACCCACATTTTTGCTTTAAAAATATAAAATATTGCTTTAGATTTATACAGAAATGCATTAGTAATATTTCTGGCATATAGTAGCAGTAAATGAAGAGTTTCACTATTTCAGTTTTTCTGGTTTCATATTTTTCTTATTACACACAAAAATGCTCCTCTCATTAAATCATTGTTCCTCTATAAAATGGAATAAAACACCATGCTCTTTATGCATCACACATATTAATTTTGCATCTGGGCTAAAACTCTAGCAGAAACCCTCCTGTTAGCCCCACTAGGCAGACCAGACTACAAAATCCACTCCACAGGAGGGCTAAAACTACTTTTATTGAGATTGGCTATAATAGCAGAATCTTGCAAGTCTGGTTATGCTGTACCTCCACCTCCTTCTTATAGTTCAGTAAATTAGAGAGACATCTGTCTGAGCCACTTCTGAATGTTATCTGGACATTCTGGACTTTAAAAAAATGCTTCAACCCCCTTTGCCTAGGTAATGGTTCCTGCATATTTCCAATCAGGGTCATCTTCCTTACTCTCTACATCATCCATAGCTGAGATGATTTTGACAGGAGCTTTGCCTTCAACATGTATGTGTGAAACCAATCCTCCTGCTTCCCCCTCAATTCTTTTCTAACCAATATAGCAGTTGAATCATACAGAACTTGGTTCATTCCTTCTTTCTACAAAGCTGGGCATTATTGCTTATTTTGAGTTTATTTTTATTAGAATATCATGTCTTGATGAGTACTGGAGATTGTCACCCTACCCTAAATTCCTGTTGTGGAAGCAAATTGCCACCTATTGACATTATTTGTGTTTATTGTGTTTGACTGTGGGACACTAAGTCAAATTTTATATCTATTGTCAAAGATTCACAAAACAAGCCTAAAGGAATTGATCTTTGCATTTATGAAATCTGATGGCTACCATATCTTCAGATACATACGAGAGGGTTTTGTCCTCAAAGATGGCAAGTCATCTCACTCATTCTTTGAAGAAAAGCAGAGAGAAATGGGAGCTCAGCAGATGAGGCTGCTGAGTTTTTAAATCATCTTCAGGCTTCACCACAGAGACTGCAGCTACTGGATTTGGTACGACTGATAACTATCTCTTCCACCAGTACTGGGTTTGCTGGACACCAAATTTCATTGACATGCCCAGAAAAGTGAAGATTAGGCAGTTCTGGGATCAGCATGTGAGGGAGAGATAATAGGGTTCATCTCAATAGCCACTTCGAGTCAGCAACAGGTATGTTGACATCAATTGTGCTGCCCCCATGGCAGAGCTTTGCTGTGCCTCAGCAGTGATGCTGGGCAGTGTTGTTCCCCATAGTCTCCTCCTTGTGATATCAGCAACTGAGGCACTTTTCATAGACTGGGAGTTAATTGTTTCATTGGTACCACTGGTATGGCTACATCCCATCACAAAGAATCTCACCAGAATCTTATTCATCTTACTGATCTCCGTATAGAGAGTGACAAGAGGTATAAGATCAGTATTTACTTGAAAAGCACTGTCTAGCCTGCACTCGGGAACAACATCCCCCCAGAGATCTGTTTGGTTCCCGCCCTCGGCTATTCTGAAAATCTTTGAAAAACTGGCTTGGCTCCCAGGCTTGGAATTAGGATAATGGTTGGACCTTATTGGTTTTCTTTTTCTAGTGTCTTGGGTTTGTTTTCTATGGATGTACGCATTTCTTTTCCTTTTCACATATGGTACTTATTTTTAAAATGTAAGCCATCCGGAGTTGTCTGGGAGTCAGGCAGCTTCTAAATACAAATAAATAAATATTTATACACTCATCTTGGGCTCAGTTTCACTAGGTTCTAAACTGGAGATGCCGTGAGGGAAGTAGAAAAAATATTATCACTCTTTTGAACTATACTACAGAAATGGATGTGAGCTACATCAGTAGCCCTGTTTCCTCCCTGCCTGCCTGCCTGCCTTCCTTCCTTCCTTTACGAAACCAAAATGAGGAGCCCTCTATGCTTTTTCCAGTCTCTAAGCCATTTACTTCTAAGAAAATAGAGACATTATACAAGCTTTAGCAGGAATGATTCAGTTCTGTTTCAGATCCCAGTGAGAATTAACTGAGTATAACGGAGGTAGTATAAAAAAATGTAATGCGCAGCTTCACATAATGCCAGTTCATAAAGAGGATTGCAAACTGGATGTCCTGGGTCACTGTTCAAGCTTCTCCTTGAGTCTGCCAACTAACAAGCCTATTTAAACCTGCATTTCCAGGATGATTAAAAAAAAAAAATGGGGGGGGGGGGA